TTTTTGTTTTTTGTTTTTTGTTTTCTGAGAAACAGTTCTTGGAAACTTAACCCCAGGTGTCAGGCCAGCATTGTGGCACTGCAGGTAAAGTTACCACCTGTGATGCTGGCATCCCATATGGGTGCCAGTTCAAGTCCTAGCTGCTCCACTTCTGATTCAGTTTCCTGCTAATGGCCTGGGAAAAGCAGTGAAGATGGGCCGAGTACTTGGGCGTTTAATGCTGCGTGGGCCCTTGGTGGGGGTGGACCTAGGAAACTCAAACAGCACAGAGCCCTCCTCCCCACCCTTCCCATTCCCATCCCATCTTCCTCTCTCTTCCTCTAGGAGAGACCCTGATGAATACAAACAGCAACAGTTACTAATCTGACCTAACTTCCAGCAAAGAAAACAGTGTGGACTATACCACCACCAGTAACATGCCTACGAATGCAAGGTTTCTTCCCAGCTCCTTATCCTTAGAATACTAAAGATACAGCCATACAGTGAGAGTATTAAGCTTAGAAAAATTCCTTGAATGACTTACTTCCTTTGTAGTTAAGCTCATGTTTTGTGAGTCATCTTGTTGTCGTGGGCAACATCAGGGTTTACTGCGTCTTTCTTTTGGATCAAAGCTGTCTGAGAAGGTAGAACAGGAAAAGCTTCAAGCGTTAGACCCATCTACCTCCCTACAGGCAACCATCGTAACCAGCTCATGTTTTATCCTTCCTCTCTGCTTTCGTAAAGCATTTTCCTATTTCTCCTAGCTCTCACCCACAGTATGTCTTTTGTCTTTACTAAATAACATCCCCTGGAAACCACATCATACGATTTCACAGGACTCCTATTTACCCTTCTTCCTTTAACCGGCTGTGTAATACTCCAACATGTAGACTTACTATTGCTCAATCGACTAGTCTCAAAAGGATGGGATTTGAGGAATTTTCAGTGATTCCTAATTTTTTAAAAGTGATTTTCATTTATTGAGAGGCAGAATGAGAAAGAGAGAGAAAGAGAGTGAGTCTATCTGTTGATTCACTCCTTAAATGGTTGCATTAGCTGGATCCAGGCCAGGTCAAAATCAGATGCCAGGAGCGCCTCCAGTTCTGCCACAGGAGTGGCAGGGGCCTAAGCACTTCAGCCATCCTCTGGTGCTTTCTTAGGCACATTACCAGGGAGGTGGATCAGAGTAGAGCAGCCAGGACTCAAACTGGTGCCCATACAGGATGGCAGAGGCTTATCTTGTTAGGTCACAATGCCACCCTCCCTCCCTAGTGATTTGCTATTACAGCTATGCCTTCTGCATCACCACGTGTGCTTGTTCCATGTCTGCGAATGTGCATCTTCTGAATGAGGCCCTAGGAGAGCAGGGGTGCTGGGTAAATGTGGATGTAGTCTGGCTCTCTTCCCCTGCATAGCGGGGGTGCTAGTTGGTACTCTTGGCATTGGTATTGCAACACTCTGAAGTAGCCTGAGCTGGTCTTGAACCTGGCTGATCATCCTTTACTTCCCCACCATGAGATACTACCCTAAACTCCTCACCTGCACCTCAGCTGATATGGCAGGACAGTAAGAGAGAAGAGGGGCCCTGAGGCTCCCACTGCAGGGCTTCTCCCCAATATATCGGTCGGTTGGGCGTTTGTGTGTATGACATGTAGGGAAGCCCTGCAGAGAGAAACCATGCAGCTGGAGACCCCGACCAGTGAGCAGCGAGAGTGGACGTGACCAGAAAGAGTGTGGCCTGTGTCCACCAGCCTAGGCTGCCTCCCATGGCCTCTTTCTTTCCTGGCCAGGAGCCCTGGGCTCTGGTCTTACTGGATCCTGTCTGACTTCAAGTGGGCTAAACACACAGGACTGGGTTCAGGGGGAGGCAGAATAGAAAGTGCCCATCAGTGCTGCTGTACCACACACAGAGGAAATAAGTCAGTGGAACAAGAATGGCTCAGGCCAGGGAAAAGGAAAGAGGAGACAGAGAGATGCTGGGAGAGGAAGCTGCGGACAGAACATTCCACACCAGCCTTCTGAGCCCCAGCCCCAGGGACCATGGCTTTCCCGTGACTATAGAACATGGCAGATGAGTGGGGAAAGTGTCACTCCCTCGTGACTGAGCCCAGAGGCCATGTCTGTCTCATCCTTCTCTCCTTCTCATCCTGACACACCCTAGAATACCCGTGGCAGATTCCCACAGGGGGCATGGCCTGGGGGTGAGGAATAGAAGCCAGCTGGTCTGGGGAAGGACAGTGAGGTCCAGGGCGGACCATCCCCCTGCAAGGTCAAGCCCAACAGGGGACTGGGAACACACACCTTCCTTGCCTCACTCCAAAGGCTGGTGTCTCTGGAATGTTCTCCCTTACATGGGCATGACCCAAACGTGTGCTGAGCTGTGTCTGTGGGTGCTGGGTCTTCAGGTTGGGAGCTCTGACAGAAAAGAAAACGGCTGTGGGGGTTCCTGGAGGAAGAGAGCTTGAATGGAAGAAGCTGTTGACAGGTGGCTGCAGTGATGGGGCCCGTGTCCTGACCGGACCCAGGTCGCAGGGAATGGGGGGGGGCATTCTCCCAACATTCTAGCCTACCGACACCCACCCATTCGTTCTTGCAGCACTCAGCACACCAGGCAAATCTAACTGCCCTACTACTGCCTGCCCCCACCCCCCACCCCACACCTTCTGACATTACAGTCTACAGTCAGCTTTTCCTCAGCAGCTTGGGGAGCCAGCTTCCCTTTCTGCAGAACGCCAGAAAAGAACCTGTTTGGTTGCGGCTCCCACTCACTTCCCAAGTTCCCCCCTCCCCTCCAAGCCACCTCTTCTCGGTAAACAGCTTTCAGAGCTCAGGCACTGTGCTGGACGCTGCCAGTCAAAAGCAGCCAGGCCAACGGGGTCTCCTTAAGGCTCGACCTTGAATCTAGGAACACGGAGGTGGGAAGGGAAAAGGGCTGCGCGGGGGCCAGGAGGCAGGAAGCTCCAGGCTGCTAAGTGCTTTCTTCGTCCTGCAGCCGCCGAGGCAGGGCCCGGGAGGGTGGGGCCGAGCCGCAGGCGCGGCTGGCCGCAGAGACGGGCGAGAGGCAAGGGGGCCGTGGCTGGGCTGCAGCACCCACTCTCTGCCGGGGCTGCAGGAGAGCAGCACCCCCTACTCCCCACCTCGCCGGAGCAGGCGCCCCAGAACCAGCTCCTCAAGAAACAGCCCTCCAAGTCTACCAGATTCTCCCCCCTTCGTCGCCCCTGTGTCGCCGCAGCTCTGAAAACCGGCAGCCCAGCGGCAGCAACCGGACCCGCTGCTGGTGCCGGGAAAGGACCAGCGTGATTCGGGGCTTGCGCCTCAGCAAGATGGTGGCGGGCGGGACCGCTCTTGTGACGAGAGGCACACACAAGGATTCCCCTCCCCTCCCTGCTGAACAGGGCACCGTAGTCTTCGCCTTCCCCGCTCCCCAGTTCTCCTCTCCAGCCCAACTCTCCGGGGGCGGACACAGGTGCTACCTTCCCCGCACAGACTCCCGCAGGTTCGCGGGCCACAGGTCCTGGACCAGCCTTCCTCAGGACGACCTCTGCAGAGCTCCTTCACACCTTTACCAGAAACGGGTGGGGCGGACTGCTCCTCCTCACCTCAGCCTCTGGCCCTCACCTGGCCCGGGCAGGGACACCCCCAGTTCCTCCCCTCCTGCCAAGTAAAGAAAACCTCAGCGCAAAGGGGGCAGCACGGAGTGGGAGGGAGCTTTCCAATGGAAAAAAGGGAGGAGATGAGGGGCGGCTCTGGGGAAGGGCTTCAGACTCCCCCTTCCAGCCCGCACCCCCAGGAGGAGGAGGAGCCGACAGTCCCTTCCCACCCTCCACCGTGCTCCCCTCCTGGGCAACAAAGCGCCAGCCAGCTTCTTCCTCCGACAGCCTCCTGACGAGGCCTGCATCCCAGCTCCAGTCCCGCGGAGCACCGGTGTCCCCTCCTCTAAGGGGTGCAGCAGTCTCTACCTCGGCGCCCTCCGCAAGCATTTAGGGGCACCCCCGTCGGCTGAAGGAAGGAGCCTGCCTGGCCTTGCCTAGGAGCTTGGCAGAGCAAAGGAAACCCTTCCAGTCTTCAGTCCGCCACCACCCCAGCCGCCCCTGGGACGCCTCGCCAGCCCATCACTTTGCAATGACAAACTTTTCCCCCGGCACCCCCTTACCCTGGCTCCCCTCCGGCCAGCAAGGCGCGGGGCGGCGCCCGGGAAGACACTCCTACAGTTGGTTTGGGACACACACACACACACACACACACACACACACGCCGGCGGTGAGAGGGAACTCCCAGCTTTTTCCAAAGCTAATTATAGACGTGAGCGTCTGAGGATGTTTTGCAAGCAGCAGAAACTGCTGAGGTTTCTCTGCAGAGCAGGAGAAATTTCATTTGTGCACACCCCCAACTTCTCCCGGACTCCCCATCCCACCTCCACCCCGCTTTCCGAGACAGCCCCTCTCCCAAGTCCCCCACATATGCACGCTTATACGCAGCTCCTCCTTCCCGCCGAAGATTTTTGGCTCCCCCTGCCCCAATCTCTCTTTGGGGCTTTCGAGAAAGGGAACAGACGCGGAAAATATTTTTGCAACAGTTTTCCATTCTGCTCCTGGTTCCCAAGCCAAGGGGGAGGGGATAGGCAGGAGCGGATGGACGGGTGTGTGTGTGTGGGGGGGGGTAATAGATAATCGCTTCCTCCCCCCAAGAGCTTCATTTGGGTGTGAAAAAGGCATCTCTGCGCGCCCCTAGCCACCCCCCCCCCCGCCGCCAGGATCCCCGGACCGACCGGGACGAGCAAATGAAAAAGGCATCACTTGTTTGATTTTGGTGTGGTTCCGCAGAGCCGACCTGAGGCGAGGAAGGCAGTATTGGGCGCATCTGTGCGAGTGCGCGCGCGCGCTTGCTGGTGGTGGTGGGGACCCCCAAATCCTCCAAATCCAGGGGCATGGAACGGGCTAGGAAGACGGCACGCGGGGAGTTTCAGACGCCCGAGAGAGAAAAGAGAGCGTAAAGTTTGCAGACGTTACCGGCCAGCCTACCTCTCTAGCAACGATCCGGGCTGGTCCGCGCGGGACGCTGTCTTCGGGCAGCCATGCACGGGGCCGACGCCGGGCCGACCCTCCCCACTCCGCTCTCGCCCGGGCCGAGACGGCCGCCTCGCCGTTCCCGAGGCCGCCGGGGGGGAGTGGGCTGGCTGGGTCTCCTCCCCGGCCCTGCCCGGGCTCCTGGAAGAAGACGCGCTACGCAGGGGAGCTGGGCGGGGGCCTCGGCTCTGGCTGGCGTCCCAGGGATGCAGCCCTCCTGGCAAGTTCGAGACTGCCTCGCGACCCCCAGGGCTCCGGACGCGGCGTCAGGAACAGAGCCTCGCGAAGAAATCGCTTGTCATAGCAACGGCTCCAGCCAACTCGGGCCGGCCCGGGGTTCTCGGGCTCGCCCGAGCCGAGCGGGCGGGGCCGGGGGCGGAGCGCGCCGCGACGGAGGCGGAGCTGGGCGCGCCGCCAGACCCGGACTCCGCCGTTAAGGTGGCCCCATCCGAGCAGCGGCGGCGGCCGCCGCGGCTTCCTGGATTGTCTTAAAGAGGAATAGGAGAAGGGAGCGGAGCCCTCGTCCGCCCTCCCAGGATTCCTCCGCCCTCCCAGGATTCCTCCCACGCCCCGGCTCTCACTTGTTGAGAGAAAGAGCGTGAGAGAGGGAGAAGGAAAGGGCGCGCGCGCGCGCCAGCGCGAACGAGCCGAGCGGGCTGGAGGCGGGGCGGGCGTGGGGTTTGGGTGTGGGTGGCTGTGTGCGACCGTTGCTGGGTGGAGGAGAGAAAAGGAAGCTTCTGCAGGCGATTCGCTTCCTGCAGCGCCTACCGAGGTTTCAACACCTCTTCCTCAGCTTCAGGACCCAGGAACCCTGCAGGGTGTCTGTGGACACTCACTGGTACCTGCCCTCTGCCCTTCCGCCTCTGCTGCGCCCCTGCCTGGTGGTGTTGGGGGTGGGGGGTGCGGATCACGGAGTAGAAGGACCTGCTTGGGTACGCGCAAGGCGCGCACACACATACACACACCTGTCATAGTTGTCCCTCTTGCCCCAGCCAAGGACTACAGGAGCATTCCAGAGTGTTAGCATGTTTGAGCGAAAGCTTTGTAGCTGCAGAATGTTGCAGATAGTTTTATTTTCCTTTAGGGGAGCTGGTTAGTTTGAAAGGCAGAAAGACACATAGAGGCCTTCCATCTGCTGGTTCACTCACCAGATCCCACATCCGTCAGGGCTGAACCAGACCGAACCCAGGAGCCAGGGACTCCAGCCGGGTCTCCCGCATGGGTGGCAGGGACCTGTGGACTTGAGTCAGCAGTCACGGCCTCCCAGGTGTGAGGAGCTGGAGTGATGGGAGGCAGCAGATGCATACCAAACAGGACTCTCACCTGGCATGCAGGTATAGGATGTGGCCTCAGCCCTTACAGATTCAGTTGTCATCTGTGTTGAGGACATTGAGGACTGAGTGGCTGGACCAGGTTATGTGTCTGGTGCCTGATGAAGCCCCATGGGGAGGCCTCTTTAGCCTGATCTCACAGCATGTCTCCTCTTTCCTCTGGTCCACATTTCTGTCTTCCTCTGTACAACTCAGACCCCCCCCCGTGCACACAGCCAAAACACTGTTGGTCACAGCCCTGCTGCAGCCACACGCCCACCAGCCCTGCGCAACAGTGCCACCCATAGATGCTGCCTGGAACTTAGGGCTCCCAATACACACACGCACCCTCAGCTGCTTCACCAACGGATGGGTTCCCATACCCACCTCAGCAAGCACAGTCAACGCCTAGCTCTGTGCCTGCTGAAGGAAGGCACCGTGACACACACCTCCCAGGCTGACAGCATGCCTGGTTGGCTCCCCAACCCTCACAATAGGGTTTCAGAGAAAAGGCATGTGTGGTCAGACCGCCCCAGCCCACACCCTCACACACCTGTTCTTCTCACTTGGGTACTTGGGTCTCCCCTGCCTCACTCCAGGAGTTAGGAATAAGCCCCAGGGGTCTGGCTTCCTTCTGCCCATCAGCCACACCCCCACCCCCAGTTTCCTAGTGTTCGGGTCATTTTCCCCCCTTTTTTTTTTGCTCTCTTACCATTTCTCGATAATTCATATGCATCGTATTTTTGAGCCTGGGATGGTCAAATCAACAAAGGTAAAGTAATTGTTTTAGAGCAGTGAGGCTGGGCTAGGGACTCTGTATGGAACTGGGACAGTGCATATGGACGGGGAAGGGCGTGCTTGCTACCAGCTATCCTGGGACTAAACCCCGAATTATCCCCTGGCTCTGCTGTGCCCCTCTTCCTCAACTAAACGGGATGGGGGGGTGTTCTTTCTTCCAGGGCATTGGAGGAACCCCTTTTGCTCCGTCCAGCCCTCCCAGTGCCTCCAAACTCTCCCAGCTCCCCAGACTGCTCCACTGGAAGACAGAGCAGGTGCCTTGTGAGATTTGTGTAGGCCCTTCCAAAAAGCCTGGCTTAAGGAGCCTGCAGCAGCCACAATGGACTTGACGGAGAAAGAGAGTCAGTGGAACAGAGCCGGGGAGCCGATGGCTGTCAGGCTCCCAGCTGGAGAGCAACAACTTGACATTTTAGTGCCCAATGAGTGTCAGTTGCATCTTTATCATGAGAGAGCCTGTCTCTGAAATGGCTCTTTAAACGTATTAAAGTATATTTTAAGCTTGTCTGCAGGGGCTGTGCGCGGAGGCATTGCCTAACCGTTCGGTAAACTTGTCTTGGGGGAATAACAATTTAAGCCAGATGTGTGGTCCCATTAAAGGCAATGTCTCCTCCTGCTGCCTAGTGGGCAGGCAGGCAGGGAGCTGGGAGCCAAAGATGCCCATTCATGGCTGGTTATTGTTGGAGGGACTGGACCTGCTCCTCAACCTCCCTGGATTCCAGGGGGGCAGGCTCTGCAGGATGGGGTGTGGGGGAAGAGACCCTGAAGCTGTCCCCCTTCTGGCTGGTTAGGAGGCAGGCAGAGCCAGCCTTGATGGAGGCTCGGGGCCTCCTTTCTCTGAGAGCACTCGACTGACTGCGAGATGAGAGAAGAGAATTCCTGCACTGCTCCTTCCTCGCCCATTGCCCCTGTCAACAGGAGAGAGGAATGGGAGAAAGGGTGGCCGTCGACAGGGAGATCTGCAGGCCAATCTTTGCAGGTAACTGAGTCAGCCCTACAGCCTAGGTTTTCTGGAATCCCAAAACCTGGCTGCTTTGTTTCTTCCAGCAGCAGGTTTGAGGTTTACAGTCAGCAAAAAATAAATCTGGCTTTCAGAGTAAGCTCTAGGGGCCAGTGCCATGAAAGAGTAGGTTAAGCCTGTGCCTGCAGTGCCAGCATCCCATATGGGTGCCAGTTCAAGTCCTGGCTGTTCCATTTTCAATCCAGCTTCCTGCTGGTATGCCTGGGAAAGCAGCGGAATATGGTCCAGACCCTTGGGATCCTGCACTCATGTAGGAGATTCAGAAGAAGCTCCAGGATCCTGCCTTGGGCTGGGTCCAACTCTAGCTGTTGTAGCCATTTGGAGAGGGAACCAGTGGATGGAGGATCTCTTTCTCTCTCTCTAACTGCCTTTCAAATAAAAATAAATGAATTTTGAGTTCGGTCCTTGGGCTTGGGGGCAACTGACGCTCCCTGCAGTGTGGCGACTGTGGGGGGTGCCCCTGCCGGGTCGGACCCAATGCGGGGGACTCACGCCAAAGACACTGCCACAAGGCAGTGAACGAGTCCTCGGCCTCCCCCAGGGCGGCCAGTGCACCACATGGTGCCAGGCATTGCCTGCTGGCCGCCCGGAAGGGCAAACTCTGGGGTTTTCAAGATATGTAGTTGCTGCCTGGGGTCACTCATGACTAAGACTAGGTTGAATGTAGGTGCAAAGTGAATTTTCGGGTATTCTCAGTGACAGGGTCATGAAAGATTTAAGCAGGCAAGGGGACCAAGACCTAGTGGTTTGGGGGAAGTGTCCAGAAGATAATTTTAGTAAGACAGATGCAACAGCTCAATTATGAATACAGAGATGGGATATTAGTATAGAACATCACTGATCACCATATACTAGCCTACACCGAAGCTATGGATGGGGGCCTCTTTGGCAGTGTTGGGTACCATTGCCCGACTGAGTGTTGGAGTTGTGGAGTGGTCACATTTGGCAAATCAAGACACTCTCCAGCACACAAGAGAACTTGGGCTGGGGGTAGACTCTGTAGGGTTGTGTGGGCCCAACCCTTTGGAATACAAGTCCCCCGGGTTAGTTCCCAAGCTGGGGTTGCAATGGTCTAAGCTGGGTGTGACCACGCCATCTGCCATCACTCATGGGTAAAGGAATCCACAACAGTCAGGGTAGGTCAAGGCAGCAGCACCCAATTGTGCATCTTTAAACAAGATGTGGGGTGGGCCGGGCTGCCACTGGAAGGGGGTAGAATGGGCAGGGCTGTACAAACCTTAACTCACAAGTAACAACAGAAATCAGGTTGGAGCACAGCTCAGGCCAGGTAGGTCCTTGCACATACTGATCTGTGTGAGGCAGAGGCACTAAGCCACAGCATCCAAGGGGCCAGGACAAGTGAGGGGCTCTGCCAAGCGGAGACAGAACAACCACCGGCCTACACCTGCTCTATGGCAGGGCAGAGGCCCGGTTGGGGAAATAACGGGACACCCTAGCTGGGTTGAGTTTCCCACCAAGGAGCGCATGGGCTGGAACTGAGGCTACATTCTGATCAGGATACGATCGTAATCTCACTTGGCACAATTGTGGACTGGGATGGGAAGCACCAAGCCAGGCCAAATTCCAACACCATCTGGTGCTCTGGAGGACCGGGGAGGGTTGTGTGACAGACTAGGTTAGGTCTCAGCCCTTACTGAACCATGTGTGAGCTGGGTAGGGGTATGGAAGAGCCATGGCTGGGTTGAAATATCCAACAACAAGAACCAGCTTGGGTCGGAGGCCAGGCAGGAAAAGCCACTGTTCCTCCTAGGATAGCAGGCGAACTGAGTAGTGCTGGCTCATGGACCCACTGGTATGCGCGAAAACTGGCATTGGGAGAGGTTCTGGTGGAGGAGCCTGGGCAACTTCTCTGGCAGGACACAGTCCCATGCAGGTAAGCGCAAGAAGCACAATAGGGAACAACCCAAAACAGGCAATGAAAATTATCCCACTGGCATACACATGGCATGGGTTGGGGGCAGACCAGCCTGAATCTGTTCACATTACCTTCTGGTGAATCCGAGCACCAGAACAGAGTGTGGGTGGAGCCAGGTTCGGTTGCAACACATACCAGTACACAACAAGTAATGCCAAGGTGAGATGAGCCGTACCAGATGTGGCTGCAGCACACAAACAGCACATATGACAATCAGGGAGGAGGCAAAGCCAACAGGGGAACGTGGACACCCCTGCTGGATAACTACTT